GGAAAGAGTATAAGCAAAAAAAGAGATCAGACTTCCACAGGCATTAACAGGCCAAGTACTGGTTCAATATGGGAATAACATAGTGAATTCGATGCAGGAATGTGTCAAAAGGTAGAAGCTAAGGAACTGAACCTCTCTGAAGGACCGGGATCCATGGCAAGAAATTCCTCCACAATCCATCTAAAATAAGACAGAGACCACTTAGGAGAAAGTTTCCCTTTACCCCTCAGATATGATGATGCAGATCCACAAAACACCTCTCACGGAATGATTAACTCGGAGTTTGCACATGACAATAAACATTGCAGGTGTATAAAAGCAGTGTTATCAGCTGAAGGAGCTGACAGCAAAGATGACACAATACTCTGATCAATGTCAGAACATGAGTTCACTAATGACTGCAGGTACTGCTATCACAGATAGCAGTCTCAGTCACTGAGGAAACAGAACAGAGCCCAGGAATCCAATGCCATGGGCTGTGAAGCCTCAGAGCAGTAATGAGATTTCGACGGAGCGGATGTAAACACAACGGCAAGATTACTTAGCGTCTCCTTGGTCAGCACGATGGTCGCCAAGGGATGCTCAGTTCCATCTGGGGACTGTTGTTATTTCTAGGAACAAATGACTGATCTGAGTAAAGCTGATTAAAAAACCCAAAGTACTCAAGAGCCACCTATTATCTTTCAAATCCCAAAGGTCTCCTCTTCCCCTCAGTGTACTGAGGAAAACTGACAGCAGCTTCAAAGCAGAAAGAGAGGGTACAGTCAACAGGACATTCCAGATTCAGGCATAGTTCAGATTGTCCCAGTAAAAAACCTAAAAACGGGTTAATTATTTTTCTTCGCTTTGGTTAGAGCCAATGGCCTTTGATAGTATTTATTTTAAAGTACACAGGATTACGGCCTACTAAACACAGCTTTAAAATATCTAACAGACAGAGCCAAAAAGATGTAAAGAGCTGCTGCTTCCTGCCACACATTTTGCAGCATCAACTCACGCATCATAAGCGAAAGTTCTCTCATGTCATCCACGCAAGCCTGCTCAAGCAGAATACACGTATGCAAATGCCCAAGGAAAAAAATCCTGGGCGCGGGATCATGATGAAAGGGATCAAACCTGAAAAAGCTTCATTTGAAAGCACAAGGCTGTCTTGTGAAAGTGGAAGAACACTCATTATTAGTTGAGACAGGAGCAAGCTCAACAACTGTGCTGATTTCGGCATCGCTTCCCTGATTAGGCGCCATTTCTATAAATTGTCCTTAACTCAGTTCTGGTGCACTTCAAGTGCCTCACTCTGCTACGTAAAAGCATTTCTACTCATCAGCTCGGCAGTTCATATCCTGTAGGGTGAATATCCTGAACTCTGATATTTACAGCTGCTTAGCGATTCAGACATGCTCTAATCATAAACTGCAGTTTCTTCTTAATGCTTCGAGAACACAGTTTTCACAGTGTAATTCTGAGAAATAAAACCAAACCATTACCTGATGATGTCCATCTGGGGCACCTCCTTTTGGTACTTGAATTTGAATTGGTACAGTTCAGTCACTGTCTAGAGATTTAACAAGAGGGAAAAAGAAAAAATGGGTCTCTTCCAGTAACAAGTGTAAAGATGCATACCGGCCTTATCAGTGTCCTTTCGCAGCTTTATGCCAGAGCACAGCATTAATTTGATGACATAACGACAGCTTTAACTCTATTATTGTTTGTACGGGCTCTGGCAAATTTTCTTAACAACTACATCTTACCTAGCACTGAAAGAATCACAAAAAAATTACAAACTTCCTGCTTCCTCCTTCCACTTCCTCTGTAGGCCTGACTCCCCAGCCTAAATCTCTAATGAGGCACCCGGGCCAGCCAACCATCACAACGCACGTACATCCTCCCTTACTAAAAGGAAAAATGTGAGGCTTCACGGGTGATGCAGTGTCACAAGGAAGCCTGGCCCAGCGTTCTGTAGGGAGACAAGGGCTTGAAGGACTCTTCCTACTACGAAATACAAACAATACTGCATGGGCAAAAGTTGAATTTCACTGGTCTCGGAGTTTTTCTGAGGGAGATAAAAAAACTAGATGATTTTCCATTTAAAAGGAAAGGATTTGCTATGATTTTAGAGAATAAAATAATTAGGAAGAAGAGACAACTTCACCACAAGAGAAAGCATCTATTGTAGTCCAATTCCATGCCTATAATTCACTTTTTCCAGAGGCAGTGAGGTCGATTAGTAGGAGCTCAGCTGAGCCCTTAACTCTGAGCCATCCTTACAAAACCCAGCCTAGGTACAGACTAAACACTTCTCTGCAGCTGCTCTGCGAAGACAGCATGGATGCAGAACCTCGCTTATATATCACGCTACCCAGTCTGTCTCCACCAGTTAGATGTCGACAAAGCAGAAACATGACAGAGAACACTGAAAGGATAAGGGCAGGTACTACGCAATGCATACATCCCAGGTCTGAATTGATTCATAACTTCCGTCCTAAACCTCCCTGCACGAAAAAAATGCTCTCTTTTCAGCACTGCTGTTAAAAAGACGGTTCGTAAAAGAATTATTTTGAACTTCCCATTTCTCCTCTTCAGGGAAGAAAAAGAAAGTTGCCAACATGCCCATTAGTTGCCTGTTAACATCCCTGCCCGAGGCCCTGGATGGGCCCAGAGCCTAGAGCCTGGTAGGAGCGTTTGATCACAGTCCAGCTCATTGAGCTGTCATTCTTGAGCGAAGGCAGAAAAAGAGAAACAGGGTCACCAAGCAGCTATGTCAGGGTAGAATTTAAGCCTACAAGTCCACTCTGAATACAAATCTACTCACCCATGCCTTCAGTTGCCTCAAAGATTAATTAAGATACTTTCTTACCTCCGGTTCCTTGGGATTGGTGTAAATCTGTTGTAAGAAAGCACAGTGAGGGCATTCTTGCCTTGGATAACTTGAACCAGTGAAAAGTGACTAAACAATGATATTTTCATTTTACAGCAGAGATTGTACTATCTTTAGCATGGGATCAGAGAAAGGAATGGCTGAGAAACAGCCTTCCTCTATCAGCAGTCAATACTTACCACTTCAAAGACAGGTAGAAGACACTCATCTGTGTAATTGTGGAGGAATGAGGTTAATTCCCATTCCAACCCTCACAGGCAACTATTGATGCCTGAGATTTAACTACTCAGATTATGCACAGAATAGATGCATAGCATAGGTCTCAGTACTTCACAAAGGACCAGGGCAAAAGACTTGCTATGTAACCTCCAGTGCATGGTTTCTTCAGGATCAGATTAGTAAGGAGGACTCTTCTGCAGGGGGAAATGGAGAAAACAGAGCAGCTTCCAAGGGTGGAGGCAAGATTTTAAAGGAAGCAATGATGTGAAGCACATGAAAGCGCTTCTAGGAGTTTAAGGATGCATGTAAGGCCTCAGTCAGAAGTCTGACATACTGAGAAAAACATTCCCACGCAGCCTAGGAAGTTCATATTTACCCTATTTAAGAAAGGTCACTGCTGTATTAAAAACCACATATATTTTGACTTCCCCTTAAAAAAAGGTACAAATGGGTTGACACAACCTTGACTCCGTATCTCTTTCAGTCAGGGTGGGGGAAGAAAAACACCTTGTATTCGTTTACTTACTGCAAGGACAGCAATGTGTAACTAAGGAGGGAAAAAACAAAACAAAACACAAAATCAAAATCTAACCTTAGCGGGCAAGGAAAAGAAAGAAGACCTCTCAAGATCTAACAGCCTACATACAGCGAAGGAGCAGCTACATTCAACAAACTATGAGTTAAAAACCACTATGCAGATTCTTCACAGCACAGCATCAGCAACACCTAGTGGCCAGTTTGCTTGGCTTTACTTGCACTTTCCCAAGAAAACAATTGCATGCCCAGACCTCTCTCCTGGGACTCTTTCTAAACAACTCTCCAAAGGCTATGCCAATTTAAAACTCTTTTACAAGAGCACCCATCCCTATTGAAGACTAATATTTACTCTCTGCTATGAAACTCCCCAAAGGTATTTAATTTATCCCATAGCAAGAAAATGCACATGGGACTACTCTTGAAAACAATCCTAGAACATGCATTAAATATCTCAACTTTTTCCCTAAATCCTTGCCAAATAACAATTAATTTATGTCTCTCAAATAGTAGGAGACTAAATACCTCCTAGAACTGTCAGCAAGCAATAAACTGTGTTCACAACACTTTGAATTATCTTATGCATGTTGACAGTTGTACTGATGTATAAAATCCCATCTCTGATCATCAGTGCCGAAACTAACACCACTTCATCTGATCTAGATGAGAGTTGGTTTGACAAACAGTGCTGACAGAGATGACAACAGTTGGTGCTTTTTCCTGTGCAGAGCAGTTTTTATGTGAGAATCAGCAAGGAATATGATTACTTACTAGCTGATTTTGTCCTGGAACCAGTTACATACCTTACTTGATGAACTACTTTCCAACAAAAGGACTAAATTCTGAACCCAAGAGAAAAGCCAGGAGGGTTAGAGAAGATGAGAAGAAGGGAAAAGAAGATAAAGGAAAGCAGAAGCACAGAAGAACCTTTCTCAAGAAAACAGGCATGCAGATCAAGATCTCGGTTCTGACAGCCAGTGTCTCCATCCAGAAAATAGAGAACACAAGTGTAGAACACAGAACTAAAGGAAATCCAATTCAGTCTGCAAATTAGTTCACGCACCATGTACAGGCAAGCCTAGAGAGCAAGAGCAGTCTATAGTTGGGCTCAAGGAATAAAATCCCAAATCTCACACGTATATACTCAGGGCAGGGTCTTCTCCCTGTCCCACAGCTGTAAATGCATGTTGTGTGTATGCATCATCACTACAGAAATACAAAGTGGGAATGGAAAGATAGTTTTGTCCATACTTTATGAAGAAATAGGAAACTCCATAAAAAATGTGAAAAAACTTACATACTGCCTCTCCAAAGCATCAAAACAACCTTGAATCCTGCCAGGGGAAAAACACGTTAATATTAACCAGCAATATTTATCTCCTGATCTGTAAACACACACTCATTAGATACAGTTTAAAGTGCATTTTTTCTGAATTAAGACAACACAGCTAGCAATATTTGGGGCTTGTAAAGTCCTTTTTAGGTCAATCATGATAAAGGCACTGTCCTCCCTTCTGCATTTGTGCATTGTTTATACTTCTAGGGCCTTGTCCTGTCAGCCTGGAGCCCACTTAAATCCTGACAAAGACAAGGATTCGAGGCCTAAGACCGGCTCTGAGCGGCTCTCTGCTCAGTGCTCTGTTCTAGCTCCCCAGCTTGATCTCTGATGGCTCTTTTCCCATTGGCCTTGTACAGAGCTTGGCTGACACTCCAATCTGAACACAGCCTGACATGTCCAGTCTTGTAAATTTTTGTTATCTGATGCATAGTTTACAGCTATGGATCTTCTCAAAGTAGTAAATACTATTTGAGGTAGCAATGGTCAGATATTTGCTCTTTGAGTCAAAGGATGTGCAGCTAGGTATCTCCTTAGCACATCAAAGTCAGACTCTCTGCTTGTTGGGAACGTGCCAACTCCGAAATACATCCTAAAGAAAGTTCTAGGGTACTTCGACACACAATAGCCAGGGAGATAAAATACTGTACATACTAAAAAATAAGCTATAAGAATCCCTATAAAAGTGAAACTAGAAAAACTAAACAGAATCAATCTCATGATTTTCTTTATCCTCTCTCCGTACCTACGCTGCCTGTGCGCGCTCTGGGGCCTGACCATGACTTCACTACAGTCAACACTTCAAAACAGACCTTGCACTCACATGATCTTGGTCAGCTAATTCTGTCTTGCTTACGCACAGGGCCAAGCACACACGCTGCAGCAGTGGGAGTTGCACTGGCACAGTTGATAGCACTACTGGGCACAATATTTTCAAATTCAGGAAGAAGAAGAAGAAGAATGCGAGGGGTAGATGTCTTGCTATTCAGCACAATCTTGTCTTAGTTTCGCTGTTACTCACTTACCACTTGACTATCTGCAATGATCCCAGACAGCTTTTATCTTCTCGGAGAATTTTTAGACAGAGGTCTGCAAAACCAGATTTAGCACATAGTTACAATCCTTATCACAGCTGTTGGGCAAACACTGAAACTAAGCCAGTCACCCTCCCTTTTTTGGATAAAATGCTTTATCTGGAGGTGCTTCCTGAGCGGAAATATTGGTTTTCCACTGGGTCCCAGGTGGGCTGACACAAGCTTATCATTGCATTTTCAAATGTCAAAACTTCCCTCAGATGCTCTGGGCTCTCCCAGAAAAAAGTGTTAGAGTTACAGTTTAATTTCAAAACACCAGCAGCTTCCGTCCTCTCCTCCCTCCTCTTCTCCACTCCCATCTATTCCGCCATTCCCTAACAACCCCTTCACTTCTGCATTCAGACTTCACCAACATCCGTATGAGGTAAATGACTGTGCTCAGAATAAACTACTTCTGTGAAGCTTTTCCACACAGCTCCTTCTACCTGTTTTCAGGTATTCAGAACAGCTAGAGGAAACCCGCCCTGCAAATGAAGAGGTGAATTAAGATCACCTTAGGATTCAAGCAAGGAGCCCTCAAAGGCACGAGCAGGCCAGATGTTAACATCCTTGATCAAAAAGGCACTTGAAAGACCTGACATTTGATTACGAAGATCAGTCTGGGATTTCCTGTGCCCTCGACCAAGTGCACGAAGTACACGTGACCATGCCTCAGGACAACTAACTCGTAAGTGAAAACATGGAAACTGACTGGAATGCATGGAGACACTTCAGACTCTATTAACACATCTCGAATGAACGTAAAGATGTTGATGAATCAAAGCATCACTAATTCTTGTGATCCTATGACAAGACTTTGGTTCTTAGAGTTCTGATTCCCAAAGCACATGTGGTTATGTGAGATAGTTTTCGCAGAAAAAAAAAAGCCTCAACAGTAAAACAAACAAATGTACTTTCAGTCTCGCAAGGAAAGCTGAAAACATGAACATCAAGGGCTCAAAAATCCAAAGGAAAATAAAACACATCAATCAGAGTTAATTTTTAAAAACTTTCTGATTTTTAAGTCACTCTTCTGACTCTGAGACCTGATTCACAGGGCTGGCAACACCAAGGAATGATTGTAAACCAAAAGAAATGCTAACAGAAAAGCCATGAGTTGCCAAGAGCTCTAGGTTGTCTTCTACGCTTTTTATCTATCTGATGCAGAAGCACTGCCTGCATCCAGACTCAAGAAGGCCTGTTAGCTAATTTCATACTAAACTGAACTCACACGTATATAAGCAGCTGGAAGCTAACATGTAAAGCAGATTATAGCTAAAATACAGCCAGCAGAAATAAGAATTCAGCACAAATTTAAAGTGTTACCATCTAAATAGCGAGTTCCATAAGAGCTCTCTGGGAACAGCCCTCTCATGTACGTTATGCAGGACACAGAGACGGCCAAAAGTCTTTTCACCAGCACCACAGACTGCTGCTCAGTAGCAATTTTGTTGGGGAACAACACTGATTCCTGAAAAAGAAGGGTAAAGCCAAAAATAGCACCATTTTCATGTAACACAGGGATTATATTTAGAAACAACTCTCAGCAGGTGGAAAAAGAGGGTAATGTAGAAATGTAATTTTAACATTTCTCTGGTCTTCATACTACACAGGGAAGAGTCAGGTCTAACATGGGTGGGATTAAACGTTTTAAGGATAGTTACCAATAGATCTGACATGATTTACTCTGATGCAGACTGTATTGGTCGGTCATTCCCTCCCCTTTTATCATGGCTGAACGCTCTCACCGCCTCTACTGCACCAATGCTGGTACTTAACAGACAACCACCCCTAAAAAATAAGTGTACCGTTTTCTAGCTCTACAGAGTTAATTCTGCAGTCAAACAAGTGTCAGTGCTGGTGTGGCATTCTCTGCTGTACCAAAGTTCTCCACCTGCCACAGCTTTTTTTTCAGATCTGACAGCAGCTTGAGCCTGTCAACGCTGTACACAGACCTAGTTTTCAGAGTCATTTTAATGCAGAGTTGTAAACAGTACATGTCTAAGGCTGGAGATAATGTAAATACTAAACACTCTGTGATTTTAACATGAACAATCTCAGCGGTAAGTATACTAAATTTAGTTCCTCTATTAGTTCATTGCTTTTTTTCCTGCTAATAAAGCTGTGTGCATACCTAATGAGCCCACATTTATTTAGTCAAATACATGTCAAAGCTCCACGCTGTATCTTCCTGGACTCACTAAACTGGAAATAATCCAATCAAGAACAGGGCAGACAACAGAAAGTGTTCCCACCTTAGCAGGCACACACGTGCCAGGCCCAAAACCGAGAGCTGAGATTGTCAGTACCATCACATTTCAAGGTTTTTACCTCAGAGGACTTCTTCTTTTGCCTAGTCTGTAAAAGCTGGTGAGTAGCCATCCCGTATTTCAATGACCTGCCTTCCACTTGTAATTAAAACTTGAAAAAAAGAAGAAGATATGAGACACCTGGAAAATACACAGTCATTGCTATTTCTCTTCTTCCTTAAACTAAGAACGAGATTCTTCAGCTTATTCAGGTCTGAAAGCTAACTGCCAGACAGGACAGCTAAAGCAAAGCAAACCAAGGATACTCCACGGCACTGTCTGAGAGTCTGCAGAGCAAGACAACTCCCTATTCACTGGTAAACGATCAATAGTATTTGAAATTCAGGGCCACAACTGTACCTGGTGTCAGCTGGTGCCACTTCAAAAAGCATTTCTCATATTCCAAACCACAAATGTTAATTCCTACAACCATTAAAAAGTGTGAAGGGGGAAATGTGAAAGAACTGGAAGTCTGCCAATAGCAGCCAATATTTTAGCAAGGGTAAGCAGGAAACGCACTAACATCAATCTTGGCCAGAATAAAGGAATGATTCTTCTGGGACACCTTGAAAGGAGCGGGGGAAAAAAAAAAAGAAAAAAAAAGAGAGAAGTCCACGTTGTTTCAATGAAAGTGGACCCTGTTAGACAAGCCTGGATTAAAGAGGAAAATACTCTTTTTTACAAGCACGGAAAGCTGATTGATAAAGGCAATAATGTGGACATTATATGTTTTGCACTTGGGTGAGGTGCTTGATTTAGCACTGCCTGACATCTTGATTAAAAACTTCCATTAGATGGAATTAACAAGGCATGCGTTAACTGGTTTGAAAAATGGCTCACTGGGAGATCTCAACATATAGTTGCTAACAGGGAGACGTTAATGAAAGGAATCACCACAAACAGGTCCCCAGAGGGGCACTGCCTTGTCCGCAGCTAGTCAATATTTCTATTAACGATTGAAATAATAGCATAAGCACAGTGGGTTGATTTAAATCGTGGCCTAATGCAGTAAGCAGTGGACTTTTGTCAAGACAGTTGATCTGATCTTGTTCTGCATTTGTACCTTTTCAGCTTTTTTCCATGAAAGCCTCATTTCCATTTGTTGGCAGTCATTAAGACATGTTGATTGGAACATGTTGACAGCTTTTATGCTAAATTTAGCACTTCATTTAGAAATGAGGGCAGATTACAGCTAGAAAAGTATATTTAAACAAATATACACCTGCAAAAATCTTAATATGTTAAATATTTTAAGAAAGTATTTTTTTTTTACTCATGATTGGCTAAGCACTGTGAACAGGACTGGAATGCAATTAAAGCAGACAAAGGCGTTATGCAAACATGAGGTTATTAGCTAAATAAAGATGATTTAAGCGAGCCAGAGAGATAAGAAAACATGTTTTTTGCAACGCACCACACTTATAATTGATTTATTGTGCAAAGGAAACATCACCTAGACTGAGCTTATCTGCCCCGACCTGGTTGTTTTGGTACAGGGTATCCTCCAAGCCTTCACCATCACCATCACCATCACCATCACCACCACCACCATCTCACCTTGGCCAAACCTGCGCTTGCTCCTGGACCGCGGGAGAGGACAGAAGGTGCCCTGGCTCTCCACAGCCCCACCACTCACCCGCTCCAAGGCCACTTTAGGCCCGAGTATCAGGAAATTAGTATTAACTGGGAGAGACCGAACCTCTCCCCCAGCGCCCCAGGAACCCCCATCCCCACTGGGGCACCTTGTCCCCTCAGCCTGCGCCCACACCCCGACCACCCCTTACGTCTCAATCCGGGCGATGTCAGGCTACAGCACGCCCTAAAAAAGCAGCCACGGCTCCAAATGTGGTTTTAAAAGTTGGGATTTTTTTTTTTTTTCTCCTGGGGTTTTTTGTTCTTTTTTGTTTGTTTGGTTTGGTTTTT